TGCAAGTCGGGCGGTCCGGTCCGGTTGTAGCAGGCTAGTGTGTCTGGCTCAACAAGGCAGGGTTCTGGAGTCCCAAGCTGGCAGGGGTAACTTCAGCACATCAGGTGACAGTCCCAAGGGGGTCTCGGTGACCAAACCTGTCACAACCTGATTGGTATAGGAATGGGTGGAAAGTAGTAGATGTAAAGGATGTTGCATATTTAGAGGAATGGAAATATGGCTAACAAAGAACCCTAAACAGCTAAAGGTGCGACATGTAAAGTCACACAGTAAAGGCAGGGTCAGCTCTGGCTTTTTTGCCGCCCCAAGCAAAAAAAAAAACAATAAGAAAAAAATACAGGGTGCAAACTTTCGGTGCCACTTACTTGGCGGCTTGCGGCTGCCTCCCCCGGCTGTGCTGGCGAGCCGCTGGGCAGGCAACGTCTGCCCTCTAGCTAGCGGGACTCCCTGCGCTGCAGACATGCCCCGGGGCAGCGGAGTGTGCGCCCCAGCTAGTGGGGGGAGAGAGAGAAGGTGGGCAGCCAGGGCTTCCTTCAGCCGGGGCGCTCGCCACTCGGCTCTTCCCGCCACGTTGCCTACCGGGAGGGCTCCACGCCGCTCCCGCCTGCAGGTGAATTGAAGGTCAGCGAGGAGGGAAGGATGCAGACTGCCGGGCTTGCTGCAGACTTGGCACCAGCTGGGGCAGACGGAGCGCACACCCTGCTCCCAGCAGGGCGCTCCCCTCCTCCATTCCGCCACCCCCTACAGGGCGGCCGGAGCAGCGAACCAAAAGAAAAAGGGCGGCTGTGGCATCCTAGGATTGGAGGGAATCCCGCCCCTTAAAATCTGCCGTCCCAAGCACGAGCTTGCTTGGCTGGTGCCTGGAGCCGGCCCGGAGTAAAGGAACGGTATGGAGGCCGCCTGGAATAACCAGGTAGATACAATAGCCTGACAGCACGACATAGCAGTTGTAACCAGACGTCAGAAAAGGAACGTCTGTGCTGACACATCTGAGCCAACAGATGGCGCTACAGACCGAGTTCCAGGGAAAATCAAAAGACAGGAGTTGTTTATCGTAGCCCATCAGTTGATGCATGAAGGAGTGGAAGGCACTTTAAGAAGGCTACAGCAAGTAGCAGAATGGGAGTGTATGGAAGATGATGTTAAAACATGGATGCGACACTATGTGCGGTGCGCTCAGGACAAGGCTCGTCCTCCGCACTGGCAACGCAGGATGCACCAACGAAGGCTCGGGCCGTGGCACAGGGTTAAATTGATGTTATTGATAAATTGCCAAGGAGGAAGGAAGGATTCCAGTATTTAGTGGTGATAATCGATTCCTTTTCAGGATGGGTGGAGGCATTTCCCACGAAAGATAGCACCAGGGTAGTGCCAAAACGTTCTTTAATGAGGTAGTGGCACCCCTGAAATAATAGATTCTGACAATGGGGGAACCTTTGTAGTAGAAATCTTTACCACACTGATACAAGCCTTGGGAATTAAACAAAAGCTCCACATACCGTACCGGCCTCAGGCCAAGGAGAGCGCATGAACCGCACTATTAAGGAAACGCTCTGGAGGGTAGTAAATCACACGGGGAAAGACGGGCTGGATAAACTGCCTCTGATGTTGGCTGCCATCCACAGCAGTAATAGACTAAGGACAAAAATTCGACCCTTTCAAATTCTGTTTGGACATCCAATGCGCCTAGAGATTGATCCTAGGTACCTGGTACAGGGTGAAGAAGAGAGCTCTAATATAACCCAGCATGATTATTTTCAATGGCTCAAAGTTACAAGAAAATAAAACCACCTGTCAGTAGAGGGTTAATCCGGCCATCGAACACATGAACAACAAAATTCAGAAACAAAGGCCCACAAAGGCAGCCTTGTGGGAAACAGAGGACCAAGCCATGTACCTTAATATGGGAAAAAGGGGTCACTCACTGGAATCAAAATGGATAGGCCCTTACTCCATAGTGGACTGCCTTAGCCCATTGGTATACTGCAGGGGTAGGCAACCTATGGCACGGGTGCCAAAGGCGGCACGCGAGCTGATTTTCAGTGGCACTCACACTGCCCAGGTCCTGGCCACCGGTCCAGGGGGCTCTACATTTTAATTTAATTTTAAATGAAGCTTCTTAAACATTTTAAAACCCTTATTTACTTTACATACAACACTAGTTTAGTTATATAATATAGACTCATAGAAAGAGACCTTCTAACAA